ATATTATTGATTTTAATTTAAGATAATTATATTATTTAATTATCTTGATTAAAAATTAATAAATGTGATAAATTAATTTTAATTAATGTTAATCATTCAATTAAGTTAATTATTTTAGTTAATTAATTTTCATCCTTAATTTCCTTTCATTTTTGTCAAAGTCAAAATTATCTTTGTTTATTTCAAATTTTACTCAAAACTTTTATAATCAAGCAATTTAGTCCAAAATTTTTAAATTTTTTCAAATTAGTCCCTCATATTTATAATTTAATCAAATTAATCTCTTTAATTTTTATTTGTGATCATTGCATGTCTTCGTCTTTGTCCATTTTAATCCAAAAGTTTAAAAATGTTGCAATTTTGTCTATCCCTTTTTTAAGTCTGCTTATTAAAACCTAAATATAAAGTTAATGAATAAGTTGAATTAAAACCTCAATATTAAAGTATATAACCGTGTTTAAACGGAAGATTGTTAGGTGCGCATATACTCTTTTTTACTTCTAATCAAACTCCCAAAATTCAATCTCTACGTAGACTTATTTTTAGGTAATTTATCTCATCTTATAATTTGAACGAGTGGTGACTCCTTTTTTTAGAAGAATCAAATGGTATTAGGCTGATAAATCACAATCAAAATCGTGTAGCTCCTAGGCGAGAAGCTGATGAGTCATTTTATAAGTTTAAAGTTTTGCAAAGGGATGATGATGTCTCAAAAATTGAAAGTTTGCTGGATGAGTTGAGCCAGACAGATCGCCTCTCTGGCCTTTCCATAGTTGGCATGCCGGGTGTTGGAAAGACAACAGTAGCTAGATCAATATTTGTGAGGGCAAGGGAAAATCACCCCTCCAGTCTGGTGGCCTGGGTGCCGGTACGTAAGGATCTTCAAGAAGAGATGATTTTAGGACAGATGTTGGAATATCTTGATAGCCATGCTGCTGGAATGACAGATATCGATCCAATACTTTCTCATCTTAAACCAATGTTAGAAAATAAAAAAATTCTTCTCATCCTTGATGGTTTATGGAATGAAGAACATGCTCGGGGGTTGAAAGAGTTCATCTGTCATCTGCCACGATGCTTCGCAACTGCTAGGATCTCTGTTGTCATAACAACTAGTAATAAAGAGGTAGCTTCACTAATGATGGACGCAATTCCTTGGCACAAGTATGAATTGCAAAAGCTATCAGATGAAGACTGCTGGCTGATAATGGAGGACAATGTTCTCAGATCGCCCAACAGAACTTCAATAGAAGATCCACAGTTGTTGCTTATTGGAAAAGATATTGCAAAACAGTGTGGGGGTTTGCCATTAGTTGCAGCTGTCTTTGGCAAACACTTGGGCGCTCATATTGGGGTAAATGAGTGGTCAGCTATCAGAGATAATAAATCATGGCGTGCATCACATAGATGGGAGATTCTGTCTCAACTGCAAAAAAGTTATGATCACTTGCCTCCACATTTGAAAAAATGCTTTTCCTTCTGTTCAATTTTTCCAAAAAATTGTAAAATTAGTAGAGATGAATTAGTTCAGCATTGGATGGCTAATGGGTTTCTTTCCAAATCTAATGACAGCAAATCAGATAAAGAAGAAGATGTTGGTAACAATTACTTCAATGATTTGGTATCCAATTATTTATTGGAAGCCATGGATATGGATGAGTGTGGGAATATAAAGTTTTGCAAGATGCATGATGAGGTGCATAATCTTGCATTGCTTTCAGCAAAATATGAAACATATATTTGGCCAGATGCCTATCCTGTTGAGGAGAGTGTTCGGCATATGAGGGTTCAGTCTGATCAAAACCTTCAAGCTGTTCCAGAAGGTATTGCTCAAAGGTTGCACTCTTTGTTCTTGGATGTTAATGTTTCGCACATGATGCCTAAGAAGTTCAGAAGTTTGCAATCTTTAAAGCTAGCAGCTGCCGATGCAAATGATTTGGAATCTGCTCTTGGAAGATTGAAATATTACATGAAATACCTTGACATATCAGGAAGTGCAATTGAAAGACTACCAAAATCTGTCACCAAACTCTACAATTTGCAGACTTTGAGATTCACGGACTGCAATTCATTGGAAACGCTCCCAAGTGGTATTGAAAATCTAGTCGGCTTGAGGCATATTTATTTTGATGATGAAAGGCATGTGCCAAGTAGCATTGGGAAATTAACTTCTCTTCAGACTTTACCGCTATTTGTTGTGGGC